GCTGAGCTGTGGAACTTGCTGACCAAAAGGTTGGCAGTTTGAATCTGCGGAGTGGGGTGAGCTCCTGTCATTAGCCCCAGCTTCTGTCAACCTAGCAGTGTGAAAGCATGCAAATCTGAGTAGATCAATAGTAATAGACGGAAAAGTAATGGCACACCATGCAGTCATGCTGGCCACATGACTTTGGAGGTGTCTATGGACAATGCCGGCTCTTCGGCTTAGAAATGCTATTATTACTACTGCTTCTACTACTACTATTTATTTATTATTATTTATTTAGAGCTTTTATAACCCGGTCTTCTCGACCTTCGAGGTGGGACTCAGCCGGCTAACAACAGAGAATCAATATACAAATAAACTAAAGCGTAATAACATCATAGTACATTAATACATTTAAACACATTAAAATACAGATCAAGAATTACATAAAGCCAATTCGTCAAGATAAATCACAAATTTACTAATAATAATAATAATACATTGTGCTACCAGTATAAATACTAATGTTGATATTACTGCTACAGCTGCTAATAATAATAATAATAATAATGATACATTGTGGTACCGGTACTAATGTTGATATTACTGCTGCTACTGCTACTAATACCAATAATAATAATAATACATTGTGCTCCCGTTATAAATACTAATATTGATACTATTGCTACTACTAATAATAATACATTGTGCTCCTGGTATAAATACTAATGTTGATACTACTGCAGCTGCTACTACTACTACTACCAATAATAATAATAATAATAATAATAATAATAATAATACATTGTGCTCCCATTATAAATACTAATACTGATACTATTGCTACTAATAATAATAATACATTGTGCTCCCGGTATAAATACTAATGTTGATACTACTGCTGCTGCTGCTGCTACTACTACCAGTAGTAATAATAATAATAATAAGAAGAAGAAGAAGAAGAAGACATTGCGCTCCTGGTATAAATACTAATATTGATACTATTGCAACTACTACTAATAATACATTGTGCTCCTGGTACAAATACTAATGTTGATACTACTGCTTCTGCTGCTACTACTACTACCAATAATAATAATAATAATAATAATAATAATAATAATAATACATTGTGCTCCTGGCATAAATATACTAATATTGATACTATTGCTACTACTAAGAATAATTAATTGTGCTCCTTGTGTAAATACTAATATTGATACTATTGATACTACTACTAATAATACATTGTGCTCCTGATATAAATAATAATGTTGATACTACTGTGGCTGCTGCTACTACTACCACTACCAATAATAATAATAATAATAATAATAATAATAATAATAATAATAATACATTTTGCTCCTGTTATAAATACTAATATTGATACTATTGCTACTACTAATAATAATACATTGTTCTCTCGATATAAATACTAATTTTGATAATACTTCTGCTGCTGCTGCTACTACTACTAATAATAATGCACTACCTCTGAGGATGCTTGCCATAGATGCAGGCGAAACGTCAGGAGAGAATGCCTCTAGACCATGGCCATATAGCCCGAAAAAACCTACAACAACCCAGTGATTCTGGCCATGAAAGCCTTCGACAATACAATAATAATACATTGTTCAAATTCAGGGAGCGGGGTGAGCTCCCACTGTTAGCCCTACCTTCTGTCAATCTAGCAGTTTGAAACCATGCAAATGGGAGTAGATCAATAGGTACTGCTTTGGGAAGAAAGTGATAGTATTCCATGCAGTCATGCTGGCCACATGACCTTGGAGGTGTCTATGGACAATGCTGGCTCATCGGCATAGAAATGGAGATTAGCACCCCGTCCCCAAGTCGGAGTCAACTAGACTGAATGTCAAGGGGAAACCTTTACGTTTTGAAATGTTTGGGACCAAAAATGTCCCTTATTTGGTTTTAAAAAATTATTTTGGAATATGTACATATAAGTAATGACTTATTGCAGAAATGGAACTTAAGTTAAATGCATTTATTGATAATTGCGTGACTCTGCCTAATGATAGGGCTGGCCCTTGGCAGCTGGCATAACTTAACTATTGTTTTCTAGAAGCAGAAGTAATTCTTAAAGATAACGAATGCCAATCCTCTTTCAAAAAAGGAACTTCATTCTCTGGCTTAAAGTGCAGGAAAGACCCACAGAGTTTGGAATGATGGAAGACTCCTTGTGGGGAGAAAAAGGCGGGGTATAAATAACAACAGCAACGACAACAACAACTACTACTATTACAACAAGAAGCTGCAAAAGGCCTCCTTCTCAGATCTCCATACAAAGACTCTGGCACAATCCTGTCAAGGTGGTCCCATTGGTGATCGGCACACTGGGTGCAGTGCCTAAAGACCTTGGCCTGCACTTAAAAACAATCAACGCTGACAAAATTACTATCTGCCAGCTGCAGAAGGCCACCTTACTGAGATCTGCACGCATTATTTGCCTGATACATCACATAGTCCTAGACACTTGGAAGTGTCCGATGTGACTGAATACAAAAGCCAGCATAGTGATTATATATAATTATAACATCATATTATTATTAGTATTATTATATTGCATTACATTATATTATAAATATTATATGTATATTATGGAGCCCCCGGTAGCACAGTGGGTTGAAGCACTGAGCTACTGATCTTGTTGACCTAAAGGTCGCAGGTTCGAAGGAGAGCACGGATGAGCTCCCGCTGTCAGCCCCAGCTTCTGCCAACCTAGCAGTTGAAAACATGCAAATGTGAGTAGATCAATAGGTACCGCTCTTGTGGGAAGGTAAGGCGCTCCATGCAGTCATGCTGGCCACATGACCTTGGAGGTTCTATGGACAACTCTGGCTCTTTGGCTTAGAAATGGAGATGAGCACCACCCAGAGTCAGACACAACTAGACTTAATGTCAGGGGAAACCTTTACCTTTAATAATAATAATAATAATAATAATAATAATAATAGTAATAGTAATAATAGGACTGAAGAGAAACAACTGGAAAAGCTAACACGATATGAGGATTTAAAGACCAAACTGCAAAGACTCTAGCACAAACCAGTACAGGTGGTCCCAGTGGTGATGGAAAGGAAAGGGAAAGGAAAGGGGAAGAGGAAGAGGGAGAGGAAGAGAAAAAAGGCAAGGAAGGAAAGAGGGATGAAGGAAGGAGGGAAAGAAGAAAGAGAGGGAAGGAAAGGAAGAAGAGAGGAAGAAGGAAAGGAAAGAAGGAAGGAAGGAAAGAGAGAGAAAGGAAGGAAGGAGTGAAAGAGGAAGGAAAGAGGAAAGAGAGAAAGGAGGAAGAAAAAAAAGAAAGAAGGAAAGGTAGAGAAGGAAGGAAAAGAGAAAGAAGAGAAGGAAAGAAGAAAAAAGTGAAGGAAGGAAGGAATAGGTAGAGAAGGAAAAAAGGAGAGAAAGAGGGGGGAAGGAAAGAGAGAAGGAAGGATTAAAGCAAAAAGCAAAGGAAGGAAAAGAGGTAGAGAAAGGAAGAGAAAGAGAAGAAAAAGAAAAAGGGGGAAAGGAAGGAAAGTAGAGAAGGAAGGAAGGAAAGAAGAAGGAAGGAAGAGAAGAGAAGGAGGGAAGAAAAAGAAAGAAGGAAGGAAGAGAGAGGAAGAAAGGGAAAGGAAGAAAAAGAAAAGGGGAAGGAAGAAAGAAAGGAAGGAAGGAAGAGGAAGGAGAGGAGGAAGGAAGGAAAAGAGAAGGAAAGAGAACAAGCCCTATGAAACGCAAGAGGAATGTAAGAGGGATGGAAGGAAGGAATAGGAAGGAAGAAGGAAAGAGAAGGAATGATGGCAAAAGAAGGAAGGAAGGAAAGAGGTATAGAAGGAAGAAAGAGAGAAAAGGAAAAGAAAAAGGGAGGAAGGAAGAGAGAAGGAAGGAAGGAGAGAAAGACGAAGAAAAGAAGGAAAGAGAAGGAAGGATTGAAGCAAAAAAAAGAAGGAATGAATGAATGAGGTAGAGAAGGAAGAAAGGAGAGAAAGCAGAAGGAAAAGAAAAAGGGGGAAAGGAAGGAAAGAGGTAGAGAAGGAAGGAAGGAGAGAAAGACGAAGAAAGAAGGAAAGAGAGGAAGAGAGGGAAAAAAGCGAATGAAGGAAGGGAAGAGGTAGAGAAGGAAGGAAGGAGAGAAAGCAGAAGGAAAAGAAAAAGGGGGGAAGGAAGGAAAGAAGTAGAGAAGGAAGAAGGAAGAAAGAGAGGAAAAGAAAAAAAGGAAGGGAAAGAGGGAGAGAAGGAGAAGGAGGAAAGAAGGAAAAGAAAGGGGAAGGAAGAAAGAGTAGAGAAGGAAGGAAGGAGAGAGAAAGGAAAAGAAAGGGAAGAAAGAAGAGGTAGAGAAGGAAGGAAAGAGAGAAAGAAAAGAAAAAAAGGGAAGGAAGAAAAGGAAGGAAGGAGGAAGAGAGAAGGAAAAAAAAGGGGAAAGAAGGAAGGAGAGAAGGAAGAGAGAGAAAGTAGAAAGAAAAGAAAAAGGGGAAGGAAGGAAAGTAAGAAAGAGGAAAAAAGGAAAGAGAAGGAAAGAAGAAAAGGGGAGGAAAGAGGAAGCAAAGGTTGGCCACAGCAACGCGTGGCGGGTACAGGTAGCAATAATAATAATAATAATAATAATAATAATAATAATAATAATAATAATAATAATAATAATAATAATAATGTCATTCAGATATATGGGCTGTACAAAAGCCTGGTTTCCGGCAGTGGTGCTAGGAACCAGTTAATCCACTTGGATCAGTGGGACTCTCTCTGTGGGAATTCCTCCTTTTAGGAAACCGAGCCCTGCACCGCTCTCTGCCTTTGGATCCAAATCCTGGCCCTTCCTTTGAAAACTAAGCATGGGATCATTACTCAGCTACACAAGAGAGAGAGAAACAGGAAGACAGGGAAAGGGAGGAGGTTGTGTAATGACAATATATTTTTTTTTGCCCCAAAGTGAAACTCCCTTCTCTTGCCAAAGCCAAGCAAGGTCCTGGTTCCTCTTCCCTGACCTCCTCCAACCCACCCCTGCAAGGCGGTTGCATGTTTACCTGTGTCTCGGCTTGGTTCAGCGCAGTCTTGGTGGAAGGGAAGCCAAATGACATATAACAGGGAGGGCGAGAGTCAGTTCCCTCCGAGCCCCCGCCTGCTGCTGCCTTTGCTGCTGCTGCTGTTGCTGGCTCTGAGCAGAAGAGCAGCAGCTCCTCCCTTGGCAGCTCCTCCCCTGGCTTCCTGGGCCATTGCCAAAGGGAGGGCCGAGGAGGAGGACAAGGAGCCCAAAGGCCACCCAAAACGCTGGTCGGCCTTCCTTCCGAGTGGGGCTTTCTCTTGGGCTGTGGCTCCTCTCCGCATTGAAACACAAGGATGAAAGCCAAAGAGGGAGATGCTTCGGAAGAGAGTTTGCCCTGGATCCTGCATGAGAGCACAGCTTCGGTTTCTCTTATGCCTTCGGACCACAAGTATTTCAGATTTTAATATTGCGGAATACCTTAAAGAATAGGTAAAGGTAGTCCCCTGACATTAAGTCCAGTCATGTCTGACTCTGGGGTATGGTGCTCATCTCCATTTCTAAGCCGAAGAGCCAGCGTTGTCCGTAGACACCTCCAAGGTCATGTGGCCGGCATGACTGCATGGAGCGCCGTTACCTCCCGCCGGAGCGGTACCTATTGATCTACTCACATTTGCATGTTTTCGAACTGCTAGGTTGGCAGAAGCTAGGGCTGACAGCGGAAGCTCACGCCGCTCCCCGGAATCGAACCTGCGACCTTTCAATGAACAAGCTCAGCAGCTCAGTGCTTTAACCCACTGCGCCACCGGGGGCTCTTAGCAGTTGTTTTTTTGTCGTGTCAGGATGCAGAGAATGCCGTGGATGTAGCTCAGGCTTGCCAGGGACATTAAAAACAATAAGAAGGGCTTCTTTTCTTAAAGGCTGCGAGTCAAATGTAAGTAGTTGTGTTGATCAATATCAGGTCTAATAGCTTTCATTTTTCTCCAGTATTAGCTGGCTTGTGAGGCTAACTGTGGATTTAACTATGGATTTAAACCTAGTGGCCATCCTGAAAAATAGGACAAGGGCAAAGAAGCAAAAGTGCAAAGAAGCCAGAATGGATGTCCAAAGAACTTCTAACTGTGCTAAGACACAAAAGAGACATGCACAAGAAGTGGGAAAAGGGAGAAATCACCAAAGAAGAATTCAAACAAATAGGGCTTCTTTTCTTATGTCAGTAGAAAAAGGAAGAACAAGGAGGCCAGGGCCTCTTCGAGGAGAAGATGGGGCAATGCTGACAGGGGATAGGGAAAAGGCAGAACTGCTTAATGCCTTCTTTGCCTCGGTCTTCTCACAAAAAGAAAGTCATCTTCAACCTCAGCAAGATGAGTGAATGAGGGATTAGAGGACATCCAACCCCAAATTGGGAAACAAGTCGTCCAGGAATACCTGGCCGCTCTAAATGATTTATTTATTTATTTATTTACAGTTTTTATATTCCGCCCTTCTCACCCCGCAGGGGACTCAGGGCGGATTACAGTATACACATATATGGCAAACATTCAATGCCAGTTTGACAGACAATGAATACAGACAATACACAGAGGCTATTTAACTTTTTTCTGGCTGCCAGGGGAGCTGCTGCTTTCATCGTCCATCAGCGACACCGATGAAGTTCTTCCGCATTCCACATCCCGGAGTTTTCTTTATGGTCTCATAAATTAGTTAATTTAGCCTCCCACACAAGGTGGTACCTTATTTTCCTACTTGACAGATGCAACTGTCTTTCGGGTTGCAAAGGTCGACAACAGGCTACACAATGGCTGGACACCCACTCCAGCCCGGGCTGGCTTCGAACTCATGACCTTTTGATCAGAGTGATCTTAATGCAGCTGACACTCAGCCAGCTGCGCCACAATCCTGGTGCAAGTCCCCTTTCAGGGCCAGATCAACGACACCCAAGAGTACTGAAGGAACTAGCGGAAGTCATTTCGGAACCATTGGCAATCATCTCTGAGAGTTCTTGGAGAACGGGAGAAGTTCCAGCAGATTGGAGGAGGGCCAATGTGGTCCCAATCTTCAAGAAGGGAAAAAAGGATGACCCAAACAATTACCGTCCGGTCAGCCTCACGTCGATACCAGGCAAGATTCTGGAAAACATTGTTAAGGAAGTGGTCTGCAAACACTTAGAAACGAATGCGGTCATCGCTAATAGTCAACACCTATTTATCAAAAACAAGTCATGCCAGACTCATCTGATCTCTTTGTTCGATAGAGTTACAAGCTGGGTAGATGTGGGGAATGCCGTGGATGGAGCGTACCTGGATTTCAGTAAGGCCTTCGACAAGGTCCCCCATGACCTTCTGGCAAGGAAACTAGTCCAATGTGGGCTAGGCAAAACTACGGTGAGGTGGATCTGTAATTGGTTAAATGGACGAACCCAGAGGGTGCCCACCAATGCTTCCTCTTCATCTTGGAAAGAAGTGACAAGTGGAGTGCCGCAGGGTTCGTCCTGGGCCCGGTCCTGTTCAACATCTTTATTAATGACTTAGATGAAGGGTTAGAAGGCATGATCATCAAGTTTGCAGACGACACCAAATTGGGAGGGATAGCCAATACTCCAGAGGACAGGAGCAGGATTCAAAATGATCTTGACAGATTAGAGAGATGGGCCAAAACTAACAAAATGAAGTTCAACAGTGACAAATGCAAGATACTCCACTTGGGCAGAAAAAACGAAATGCAAAGATACAGAATGGGGGACAATGCCTGGCTCGAGAGCAGTACGTGTGAAAAAGATCTTGGAGTCCTCGTGGACAAGTTAAACATGAGCCAGAATGTGATGTGGCGGCAAAAAAAGCCAATGGGATTTTGGCCTGCATCAATAGGAGCAGAGTGTCTAGATCTAGGGAAGTCATGCTCCCCATGCTCTATTCCGCTTTGGTTAGACCACACCTGGAATATTGTGTCCAATTCTGGGCACCACAATTCAAGAGAGATATTGACAAGCTGGAATGTGTCCAGAGGAGGGCGACTAAAATGATCAAGGGTCTGGAGAACAAGCCCTATGAGGAGTGGCTTGGGGAACTGGGCATGTTTAGCCTGAAGAAGAGAAGGCTGAGAGGAGACATGATAGCCATGTATAAATATGTGAGAGGAAGCCACAGGGAGGAGGGAGCAAGCTTGTTTTCTGCTTCCCTGGAGACTAGGACGCAATGGAACAATGGCTTCAAACTACAAGAGAGGAGATTCCATCTGAACATGAGGAAGAACTTCCTGACTGTGAGATCCGTTCAGCAGTGGAACTCTCTGCCCCGGAGTGTGGTGGAGGCTCCTTCTTTGGAAGCTTTTAAACAGAGGCTGGATGGCCATCTGTCAGGGGTGATTTGAATGCAATATTCCTGCTTCTTGGCAGGGGGTTGGACTGGATGGCCCATGAGGTCTCTTCCAACTCTATGATTCTATAATTCTATGAATCAAGGTTGAGGGGCCACCACTGAGAAGGCCCTCTCCCTCGTCCCCACCAATCGCGCCTGCGAAGGAGGTGGAAGCGTGAGCAGGGCCTCTCCAGATGATCGAAGAGATTGTGTGGGTTCGTACACGGAAATGCGGTCACTGTTTTTAAGTGTTCTTGCACTACAAATAAGATATGTGCATTGTGCATAGGAATTCATTCATTTTTTTTCAAATTATAATTTACAATATTATAAGCTATCATAAGTATTCTATCAGGACATTGACACTGAAATTAAACACCGCCTGAGCTCTGCGAGTGCAGCATTTTTCCGAATGAAGCAGAGAGTGTTTGAGGACCGTGAAATCCGTAGGGAGACCAAGGTGCTTGTTTATAAAGCTATTGTCCTCCCAACCCTGCTTTACGCCTGCAAGATGTGGACTATCTACAGACGTCATATGCAACTCCTGGAACAATTCCAGAGTTGGAAGAGACCTCATGGGCCATCCAGTCCCCCCATTCTGCCAAGAAGCAGGAATATTGCATTCAAATCACCCCTGACAGATGGCCATCCAGCCTCTGTTTAAAAGCTTCCAAAGAAGGAGCCTCCACCACACTCCGGGGCAGAGAGTTCCACTGCTGAATGGCTCTCACAGTCAGGAAGTTCTTCTTCATGTTCAGATCATGAAATGCAACACTGCCTGAGTTCTGCGAGTGCAGCATTTTTTCCAATGAAGCAGAGAGTGTTTGAGGTTCGGGACATCTGTAGGGATACCAAGGTGCTTGTATATAAAGCTACTGGTATCCCTACGGATGTCCCGAACCTCTAAGGATACCAAGGTGCTTGTCTACAAAGCTATTGTCCTCCCAACCCTGCTATATGCCTGCAAAACGTGGACGGTCTACAGACGTCACATGCAACTCCTGGAACGATGCCATCAGCGTTGCCTCCGGAAAATCCTGCAAATCTCTTGGGAAGACAAGCGGATAAATGTCAGTGTGCTGGAAGAAGCAAAGACCACCAGCATTGAAGCGATGGTCCTCTGCCATCAACTCCGCTGGACCGGCCATGTTGTCCGGATGCCCGACCACCGTCTCCCAAAGCAGTTGCTCTACTCCGAACTCAAGAACGGAAAACGGAATGTTGGTGGGCAGGAAAAGAGATTGAAAGATGGGCTCAAAGCCAACCTTAAAATCTCTGGCATAGACACTGAGAACTGGGAAGCCCTGGCTTTTGAGTGCTCCAGCTGGAGGTCAGCTGTGACCAGCAGTGCTGCAGAATTTGAAGAGGCACGAATGGAGGGTGAAAGAGAGAAATGTGCCAGAGAGGAAGGCGCATCAAGCCAACCCCGACCGACCGCCTTCCTCCTGGAAACCAATGCCCTCACTGCGGGAGAAGATGCAGATCAAGAATAGGGCTCCACAGTCACCTGCGGACCCACCGCCAGGACCATCATCCTCAGACTACGAGGGATCGTCTAAGGCACTGGGATTGTGGTGCAGCTGGCTGAGTGTCAGCTGCATTAAGATCACTCTGACCAAAAAAGGTCATGAGTTCGAAGCCAGCCCGGGTTGGAGTGGGTTTCCAACCAATTGTGTAGCCTGTTGTCGACCTTTGCAACCCGAAAGACAGTTGCATCTGTCAAGTAGGAAAATTAGGTACCATCTTAAAGTGTGGGGAGGCTAAATTAACTGATTTATGAGGCCATAAAGAAGACTCCAGCAAAGCATTCCAGCGGGGAAGCATGCGGGGAATGCGGAAGTGCTTCATCAGTGTCGCAGATGGACGATGAAAGCGACAGCTCCCCTGGTGGCCAGAAAAAGTTAAATAGCCTCTGTGTATGTCTGTATATGTTTATATGTCAAAAATTGGCATTGAATGTTTGCCATATATGTGTACACTGTAATCCGCCCTGAGTCCCCTGCGGGTGAGAAGGGTGGAATATAAAAGCTGTAAATAAATAAATAAATAATAAATAAAAACCACCCATGAACGAATGCCTGGAGAAGAAGCCCTATGAGGAGCGGCTTAAGGAGCTGGGCATGTTTAGCCTGAAGAAGAGAAGGCTGAGAGGAGATATGATGAGGCCATGTATAAATATGTGAGAGGAAGCCACAGGGAGGAGGGAGCAAGCTTGTTTTCTGCTTCCCTGGAGACTAGGACGCGAAACAATGGCTTCAAACTACAAGAGAGGAGATTCCATCTGAACATGAGGAAGAACTTCCTGACTGTGAGAGCCGTTCAGCAGTGGAACTCTCTGCCCCGGAGTGTGGTGGAGGCTCCTTCTTTGGAAGCTTTTAAACAGAGGCTGGATGGCCATCTGTCAGGGGTGATTTGAATGCAATATTCCTGCTTCTTGGCAGAGGGTTGGACTGGATGGCCCATGAGGTCTCTTCCAACTCTTTGATTCTATGATTCTATGATTCTCAAGTCACTCCTCACACAGAGGCTTCTCTCCCTCGTCCCCACCAATCGCGCCTGCGAAGGAGGTGGAAGCGTGAGCAGGGCCTCTCCAGATGATCGAAGAGATTGTGTGGGTTCGTACACGGAAATGCGGTCACTGTTTTTAAGTGTTCTTGCACTACAAATAAGATATGTGCATTGTGCATAGGAATTCATTCATTTTTTTTCAAATTATAATTTGGCCCTCCAACAGTTTGAGGGACTATCAGGATATCGACACTGAAATTCAACACCACCTGAGCTCTGCGAGTGCAGCATTTTTCCGAATGAAGCAGAGCGTGTTTGAGGACCGGGACACCACCGTCTCCCAAAGCAGTTGCTCTACTCTGAACTTAAGAACGGAAAACGGAATGTTGGTGGACAGGAAAAGAGATTTAAAGATGGGCTCAAAGCCAACCTTAAAATCTCTGACATAGACACTGAGAACTGGGAAGCCCTGGCCCTTGAGCGCTCCAGCTGGAGGTCAGCTGTGACCAGCAGTGCTGCAGAATTTGAAGAGGCACGAATGGAGGGCTTTTTCCTCAATCCGTAAACTGTGCCGGAAGCCTTTCTAGCTGAAAAACAGCAAAATGACTTAAATTAAAATCTGAATAGAAAGCCCGAACGAATGAGCCAGAGTCATTAAATATTCCCAAATGAGCTTGTTATCTTAGACATCTTTATTAAGAGCCCAATTTAACCTTGTACAATCCATACAACATATAACTTCTTTTCTCTCTTAAATACAGACATTAGGGCACATTCTTTTTTTTTTTAAAGTGCTTAACAAGTAGATCTCTGGAAATGGAAATGAAGACCGTCCAACGAATGCCACTTCAAGGAACGAATTAATGACGGAAGACGACTCTCCGCCATCGAACACTATCCCAGGGATCGGCAATCCGCATCCGATTCATCCGTCTCCATCGCTGGTTCCTGCTGGACTGCCATTCAGAAATGTAAGGTTGAAACCAGCCGATGTAAAGAGTTATAGAAGTTTAGTTACAAATAACCGTGCTACAGTCACATTATAGATTTATGAATCCCTTGGGGATAGGAATGTTGTGATGTAGGCGAGGACAAGAGGAAAAGAAAGGAAAAAAGAAAGAATTATGAATATAATATAATAATAAATAATAAGGATTTTAAATTATTTTATTATAAAATAATAATAATAATAATAATAATAATAATAATAATAATAAAGATATGAGGATTTAAAGATCGAACCGCACAAGCCAGTCAAGGGGGTCCCAGTGGTGATCGGCACACTGGGTGCAGCGCCTAAAGACCTTGGCCTGCACTTAAACACAATCGGCAGTGACAAGATTACCATCTGCCAGTTGCAGAAGGCCACCTTACTAGGATCTGTACACATTATTCACCATCGACACTGGCATGATGGGAATTGTACTTCACCTTACACATTTTGGACAAATTGACTTTTTCAAATGACCTGGGCAATGCCAAATTTAGGATTGGGTAGGCATGGTTCTGAATGGTTCTAAAGTATTTCGAAAACTAGGGCTTTGCTTCTAAAGTGTTGCTAAAGTTCTGGTGGTGAAAAATTCAGAACCCTAACAAAACTTTCAAAATGTCATTATTATTTTGTTATTGGTAATTTTTATGACAGAACTAATTAGCAACTACCATTTATAAGTAAATTTTGAAAGTTTTGTTAGAGTTCTGAAATTTTCACCACCAGAACCTTAGAAACACTTTAGAAGCAAAATCTATCTATCTATCTATCTATCTATCTGTCTGTCTGTCTGTCTGTCTGTCAGGCATGGGTAGGCATGGTTCTAAATGGTACTAAAGTACTTACAAAACTAGGGGGCGCTGGTGCTTTGCTTCTAAAGTGTTTCTAAAGTTCTGGTGGTGAAAATTTCAGAACTCTAACAAAACTTTCAAAATTTTATTATTATTTCGTTATTGGCAATTTTTATGACAGAATCAATTAGGAACTGCCATTTATAATGCAATTTTGAAAGTTTTGTTAGAGTTCTGAAATTTTCACCACCAGAACCTTAGAAACACTTTAGAAGCAAACTATCTATCTATCTATCTATCTATCTATCTATCTATCTATCTATCTATCTATCTATCTGGCATGGGTAGGCATGGTTCTAAATGGTACTAAAGTACTTACAAAACTAGGGGGCGCTGATGCTTTGCTTCTAAAGTGTTTCTAAAGTTCTGGTGGTGAAAATTTCAGAACTCTAACAAAACTTTCAAAATTTCATTATTATTTTGTTATTGGAGATTTTTATGACAGAACCAATTAGGAACTGCCATTTATAATGAAATTTTGAAAGTTTTGTTAGAGTTCTGAAATTTTCACCACCAGAACTTTAGCAACACTTTAGAAGCAAAATCTATCTATCTATCTATCTATCTATCTATCTATCTATCTATCTATCTCTATCTATCTATCTATCTATCTATCTATCTATCTATCTATCTATCTATCTATTCTTATTCATGAAGTAATGGTTCTAAATAGTTCTAAAGTACTTACAAAACTAGAGGGCGCTGGTGCTTTGCTTCTAAAGTGTTTCTAAAGTTCTGGTGGTGAAAATTTCAGAACCCTAACAAAACTTTCAAAATTTCATTATTATTTTGTTATTGGCGATTTTTATGACAGAATCAATTAGGAACTTCCATTTATAAGTAAATTTTGAAAGTTTTGTTAGAGTTCTGAAATTTTCACCACCAGAACCTTAGAAACACTTTAGAAGCAAAGTCTATCTATCTATCTATCTATCTATCTATCTATCTATCTATCTATCTATCTATCTATCTATCAGGCTTGTACATGGTTCTAAATGGTTCTAAAGTGTTTCTAACGTTGGTGCTTTGCTTCTAAAGTGTTGCTAAAGTTCTGGTGGTGAAAATTTCAGAACTCTAACAAAACTTTCAAAATTTCATTATTATTTTGTTATTGGCGATTTTTATGACAGAACCAATTAGGAACTGCCATTTATAATGAAATTTTGAAAGTTTTGTTAGAGTTCTGAAATTTTCACCACCAGAAACACTGTAGAAACAAAGCACCAGTGTCCTCTCATGGTTCTAAATGGTACTAAAGTACTTACAAAACTAGGGGGCGCATGTGCTTTGCTTCTAAAGTGTTGCTAAAGTTCTGGTGGTGAAAATTTCAGAACTCTAACAAAACTTTCAAAATTTCCTTATAAATGGTAGTTATTTATAGATTGCCAATGCATAGCCAAATACCCAAGCGAGTAATGATTATAAATCGTCGTTGGAAGGAATGGGAGCATTGTCTCCCTATAAGCATTAAACCCCCAATGACATAACAAACAAGCATAGTAATCCCAACCACTACAACTCCCAAATGACAAAATCCACCCCCTCTCGAACCCCAACAGTATTCAAATTTGGGTGTGTCGGGTATTTGTGCCAAATTTGGTCCAGTGAATGAAAATACATCCTGCATATCAGATATTTACGTTACGATTCATAACGGTAGCAAAATTACAGTTATGAAGGAGCAACAAAAGGAATGTTATGGTTGAGGGTCACCACAACATGAGGAACTGCATTAGGAAGGTTGCCCTAAAGTCAAAGTACAGTGTTTGAACTTACTCTGCATGCTACAATCCTTCTTCAAGTGCACCACCAAGAGAGGAAAGCTCTGTGAATCCTGGTTCAATGGCCCAGAAGGCAGTAGGTCATGGGAAAGAAAATGATTGCTGGAAGAAGTTGTTTCAGGATCTTCATCCAGGTCGAATGAACACAGAAGGCAGACTGGGGGGGTCGCCCCAGGCCCTCTGGGGAACAAGTCGCTCTCGTTCTTCAGGTAACTCCGCACTGCTCCACTGTGGTGGGTGGCTCGCTCCCGGGACCAAACCCAATGAGAAGGCTTCTTCAACATTATCTAGACAATAGAAAGATGTGTTGACGCAAAGAAGTCACATTAGATTCCTAAATACAGAATGCAGGATATATGTGAGAGGCAGAGAAGGAGGATGTTGCAGGAGTCGAGGAAAGAGCATTGTGTCCACTAAGGCCCCTTCTACACTGCCAGACCAAATCCACATTATCTGCTTTGAACTGGATGCCTGGCTTGAGAGCAGTACGTGTGAAAAAGATCTTGGAGTCCTCGTGGACAACAAGTTAAACATGAGCCAACAATGTGATGTGGCGGCAAAAAAAGCCAATGGGATTTTGGCCTGCATCAATAGGAGCATAGTGTCTAGATCCAAGGAAGTCATGCTCCCCATGCTCTATTCTGCTTTGGTTAGACCACACCTGGAATATTGTGTCCAATTCTGGGCACCACAATTCAAGAGAGATATTGACAAGCTGGAATGTGTCCAGAGGAGGGCGACTCAAATGATCAAAGGTCTGGAGAACTAGCCCTATGAGGAGCGGCTTAAGGAGCTGGGCATGTTTAGCCTGAAGAAGAGAAGGCTGAGAGGAGATATGATAGCCATGTATAAATATGTGAGAGGAAGCCACAGGGAGGAGGGAGCAAGCTTGTTTTCTGCTTCCTTGGAGACAAGGACGCGGAACAATGGCTTCAAACTACAAGAGAGGAGATTCCATCTGAACATTAGGAAGTACTTCCTGACTGTGAGAGCCGTTCAGCAGTGGAACTCTCTGCCCCGGAGTGTGGTGGAGGCTCCTTCTTTGGAAGCTTTTAACAGAGGCTGGATGGCCATCTGTCAGGGGTGATTTGAATGCAATATTCCTGCTTCTTGGCAGGGGGTTGGACTGGATGGCCCATGAGGTCTCTTCCAACTCTTTGATTCTATGATTCTATGATTTGAATGCAATATTCCTGCTCCTTGGCGGGGGTTGGACTGGATGGCCCATGAGGTCTCTTCCAACTCTTTGATTCTATGATTCTATGATTTGAATGCAATATTCCTGCTCCTTGGCGGGGGTTGGACTGGATGGCCCATGAGGTCTCTCCCAACTCCTTGATTCTATGATCTGCTTTGAACTGGATTATATGAAGTCCCATCTACACTGCCACATAAAATCCAGATTATTTGCGTTGAACTGGATTATTGATGTCTTGTTGGGCTTGGCCTCATGTAAGCTACCCCGAGTCCCCTTGGGGAGATGGTGGCGGGGTATAAAGATTATTTATTTATTTATTTATTATTGATTTACAGCTTTTATATTCCGCCCTTCTCTCCCCGCAGGGGACTCAGGGCGGATTACAGTGTACACATATATGGCAAACATTCAATGCCAATTTTTGACATACAACATATACAGACATACACAGAGGCTATTTAACTTTTTCTGGCCACCAGGGGAGCTGTCGCTTTCATCGTCCATCTGTGACGCTGATGAAGCACTTCCGCATTCCCCGCATGCTTCCCCGCTGGAATGCTTTGCTGGAATCTTCTTTATGGCCTCATAAATCAGTTAATTTGGCCTCCCCATACTTTAAGGTGGTACCTTATTTTCTTACATGACAGATGCAACTGTCTTTTGGGTTGCAAAGGTCGACAACAGGCTACACACAATTGGTTGGAAATCCACTCCAACCCGGGCTGGCTTCGAACTCATGATCTTTTTGGTCAGAATGATCTTAATGCAGCTGACACTCAGCCAGCTGCACAACAAACCCTGCGCCACAAAATATCATCATCATCATCATCATCATCATCCTTATCTGAGTCTACATTGCCATTTAATTACACTATTTAATTATTATTATTTAATTACACTGAAATTCAACACCGCCTGAGCTCTGCGAGTGCAGCATTTTTCTGAATGAAGTAGAGAGTGTTTGAGGACCAGAACATCCATAGGGAGACCAAGGTGCTTGTTTATAAAACTATTGCCCTCCCAACCCTGCTATACGCCTGCGAGATGTGGACAGATGTCAACATTGACACTGAAATACACCGCCTGAGCTCTGCGAGTGCAGCATTTTTCCGAATGAAGCAGAGAGTGTTTGAGGACCAGGAAATCCATAGGGATACCAAGGTGCTTGTTTATAAAGCTATCGTCCTCCCAACCCTCCTATATGCCGGCAAGAGGCGGACTGTCTACAGATGTCAACATTGACACTGAACTACACCGCCTGAGCTCTGTAAGTGCAGCATTTTTCCGAATGAAGCAGAGAGTGTTTGGGGTCTGGGACATCCATAGGGAGACCAAGGGGCTTGTTTATATCCCTGCGAGATGTGGACTGTCTACAGACGTCACATGCAACTCCTGGAACGATTCCATCAGCGCTGCCTCCAGAAAATCCTGCAAATCTCTTGGGAAGACAAGTGGACAAATGTTAGCATGCTGGAAGAAGCAAAGACCACCAGCATTGAAGCGATGGTCCTCCGCCATCAACTCCGCTGGACCGGCCACGTTGTCCAGATGCCTGACCACCGTCTCCCAAAGCAGTTGCTCTACTCCGAACTCAAGAACGGAAAACGGAATGTTGAAGACAGGAAAAGAGATTGAAAGATGGGCTCAAAGCCAACCTTTAAAATTCTGGCATAGACACTGAGAACTGGGAAGCCCTGGCCCTTGACCGCTCCAGTTGGAGGTCAGCTGTGACCATCAGTGCTGCAGAATTTGAAGAGGCACGAATGGAGGGCGAAAGAGAGAAACGTGCCCAGAGGAAGGCGTGTCAAGCCAACCACGACCGTGACCGTCTTCCACCTGGAAAACGATGCCCTCACTGAAGATGCAGGTCAAGAATAGGGCTCCATAGTCACCTACGGACCCACCGCCAGGATACTACACTTGGAGGACCATCATCCATGGCTACGAGGGATTGCCTAAGAAGAAGAAGAAGACTAGGGAACAAGCAAAGGTCAGAACGTACTCACCTCATCACAGCATCGCTGGCTAACAAACGCTCTGTACTTCATTTTAGCCCAAAAACCATCCCGCATTTTCAAGAAGTCCGGGATGAGCTTCCTCCAGTTGACACCAAGCGCCCAGGGGAAGATCTCGTATTTATAGTCTTCCGTATCTTCTTCCATGTCGTTTGCCAGGTATCTGCAATTAGGAGAATGGGATGATGGGGAAACTTCGTATTGGCAAGTCCTCTTGAGAATATAGTCCTCCTTTCTTTCCCCACCACCTTTTCCAAACAAACGAGAAGGTGCCACTATGTCTCCCATAAACAGTGGAGCAAAACAAAGTAAACTTACAGAGCCAGGAAGAGATTAATCCGCGTGTATTCTCTGGTATTCAAGCCGGCACGTTTGAAGTACATCATGGTCATAGCTATAAGATACTGAATAAGGAAAGACACAATTCAGCATAGTTTGTGGCAGCCATGAGCTATTTCAAGTTCAATGACAAAATTAATAAATGGATAGCCAATTGTCACAGAGTCAAAAGCCGGAAATGAAAGGAGAAGCCTTTGCCTTCTTTTTGTGTTGTGTGTCTCATTCTACGGGAGTGTAACAAGGCACTGAATGTATGCCTTGTATACAATAACTAGCTGTGCCCTGCCACGCGTTGCTGTGGCCTATAGTAAATCTTTTCAAAGTAGAGGTAGATATCTGGAGTATTATGAAAGAGAGGTACTACCTATTCCTTCCCCCCTTTTCTCCCCCTTCCTCTCCTTTCTTCCTTCTCTTCCTCTTTCTTTCTTTCTTTCTTTCTTTCTTTCTTTCTTTCTTTCTTTCTTTCTTTCTTTCTTTCTTTCTTTCTTTCCTTCTTTCGCTCCTTGGTTTCATCCTTCTCTCTTTCCTTCATTCCCTCCCCCTTTCTTCCTTTGCCTCCTTTCTTCCCTCCATGTTTCCTTCCTTCTTTCACTTTTTATTTGCTGTGGCCAACCTTCCCTCTTTCTCTCCTTCTTTCCTTCCTTCCTTCCCATCTTTCCTTCTCCTCTTCCTTCTCTATCTCTTTCCTTCCTTCCCCCTTTTTCTTTCTCTTCTGGTGTCTCTCTTTTCTTCCTTCTCTCTTTCCTTCCCTCCCTCTTTCTCTACATCTTCCCCCTTCCTTCACTCCCTCTTTCCTTCCTTCCTTCCCTTTTTTCTTTCCTTCTCTCCTTCCTTCCTTCTCTCCTTCCTTCTTTCCCCCTTTTCTTTCCCTCCCTCTGTCTCTCATTTCTTCCTTCTCTACCTCTTTCCTTCCTTCCCCCTTTTTCTTTCTCTTCTGCTGTCTCTTTTCTTTCCTTCCATCTTTCCTTTTCTTTCCTTTTCTTCTTCCTTCTTTCTCTAACTTTCCTTCCTTCCCCCTTTTTCTTTACCTCCCTTTCTCTTTCTTCCTTCTTTCCTTCCTTCCCGTCTTTCCTTCTCTTCTTCCTTCTCTATCTCTTTCCTTCCTCCCCCCTTTTTCTTTCTCTTCTGCTGTCTCTCTTTTCTTCCTTCTCTCTTTCCTTCCTTTCCTTCCCTCCCTTTCTCTACGGGAAGGGGGGGGCGGGGCTTGGAGGGGGCGGGGTTTGGAGGGGAAGAAGAAGGAGGGGGAGGAGGGATGGATTTGGACAGGGTGGGAAGGGGCGGGGCTTGGAGGGGGCGGGGCTTGGAGGGGAAGAAGAAGGAGGGGGAGGAGGTAAGATTGGGGAAGAAGAAGGAGGAGGTAAGATTGGGGCGTGGTGTGTGTGTGTGTGTGTGGGGCGGGGGAGTGAGGTGACGTGTTGTGGCGTGATTGTGCTGGGCGGGGCGAGGGAGGGAGGTGCGGAGGGTGCGTTGGCCGTTCGGCCATGTGCGCACCGGGGACTTTGTGTCATTGCGCATGCACAGTTGTTTTGTCCTTTTGTGAGTGTGTTGTTGTGTTGTTCAGTATTTTGATTCGATATGTTTGTACTTTGTGGGTTGAGATATGTGCATGGGAATTTTGGTTAATTTTCGTTGGGTTTTTTTTGAGTTTTGCTGTCCCGTTGGACGCCCCTTACAGATTTATAGATATAGATTCGCTCTGAGTCCCTTCGGGGAGAAAGGTGGAATATTTACTTTATTTACTCTATTTATATACCGCTTTTCTCAGCCCTCAGGCGACTCAAAGCGGAATATAAATAAAGACTATTATTATTGTTGTATTATTATTATTATTATGGCATAATGGGGTTGGATTCAATGACCCTTGGAGGTCTGTTCCAACTCTAGAATTCTATATATCCCCTTCTCTTGACATTTTAAAGCAGAGGATGGATAGCCATCTGTCGGGAGGGGTTTGATGGTGCCTTCCTGCATGGCCCTGAGTCCCCTTGGGTAGAATGTAAATATATTTATATACAGTAATTTGCTCTGAGTCCCTTCGGGGAGAAGGATAGAATATAAATAAAGACTGTTGTTGTTGTTGTTATTATTAGCTGTCCCCTGTATTGCTGTGGCCCAGTCTGGTGATCTGGAAAATGAAGTAATTAGAAAGTATTGGTGTAGCGAAATTGCTACTCTATGTTAAATTTTTGGTGTATAGCTCTATGTTTACATATGGCAGATAGGGAAGAATAGGCACAGACAGGGTAGCAACAGCAGAGATAGGATTCATTTGCATATGTGAAGCCGATTGGTTATATGCAAATTAGCGTAGGTCCAGGATTTGAAAAGGCTGCTAGGCCAAAATGACAGTTGGGGAGAGCAGAGCTGAACATTCCAAAGGGGCGGAGCCAAGGTTCTGAAAAAGGCAGTTAGAGTGAGAGAGTTTGAAAATGACAGGAATTTGTGTGTGAAGAGGAGAGTTGGTTTTTGAGTGCCTGTTAGAAATAAGCAGTTATGAAGATGTGTTAAAGACTTCAGATATGGAGAAGCAGTTAGTTAAATAGAGTTCGAGTTTTAAGGAACATAAAGAAGGCTAGTGTTGCCTTAGTTCAGAATATAATTCAGCCAAGAGTGTGTAAAGCAAGTAACATGTTTGTGAATGTGAAACATTGAAAGTTTATTCAGAAAAGTAAACCAAGTAAATGATATTGACTGTAAGCCTCAAGACTGCAACAAAACACAAATGTAACCACAAGCGTTGGAGCCAGAAGTTATAAATAAACTGTGTTACTTCGTTATACACAAGAGTGCTTCATTGCCTTTGATATAAAGCACAAAGGTTTAACAGAACACAGAAAGTCCCAGCCAATATAAAAGAAGAAACTGAATCAGTATAAGGCAGCAAAGAGGGTTTTAATAAGGAAATAGTCTCTCTCCCTCACCACAATTGGTTTCTAATATATATATATAATGTCTTTATGTTTGTGGGTAAACAGTATTTCTTGCTGTTTCTTTGTCACTGTTAATATTGAGATTGTCTGGTTTGCCTACTCTGGAACATGCAACATAATCGTCCTTCTTTAGGGGTCCCTTTCAAATCTATAATACTATATCTGTGTGTGTATGTGACTCATATATATCTATCTATATCTGTGGCTGGATTGCTCCACAGCAGACATTCTGCTGGCTGTTGTATTGGATCACACGTCAGACACTTCCCAAGTGTCTAGGATTGTGTGATGTATTTATTATTATTATTATTATTATTATTATTATTATTATTATTATTAGAAACACAACAAGATGAGTCTACAGCAGACACTCTGCTGGCTGTTGAATTGGATCACACGCCGGACACTTCCCAAGTATCTAGGACTGTGTGATGTATTATTTATTTATTTGTTTGTTTGTTTATTTGTTTATTTATTATTAGAAACACAACAAGATGAGTCCACAGCAGACACTCTGCTGGCTGTTGCATTGGATCACATGCAGGATACTTTCCATGTGTCTAGGACTGTGTGATGTATCGGCAAATAATGCATGCAGATCCCAGTAAGGTGGCCTTCTGCAGCTGGCAGGTGGTAATTTTGTCAGCGCCGATTGTGTTTAAGTGCAGGCCAAGGTCTTTAGGTACTGCACCCAGTGTGCCGATCCACTGTGTTGTTGTTGTTGTTGTTATTATTTATGCACACATTTTTCTTTTTTATTGCCCACAGAAATAATATACCACACTCCTGGATATTTTGACCACTAATTAGATTAAGGCTGTTTTGAGACAAAGTAATTAATTTAGAACAGAAAACTTACCTTATCCGAAATCCTGTAGCATGTGTCCATTGAAAGGAAGTCCTGTATTAAGCCATCCTCTGAAAAGAGGGAAGCAAAATAGTTTTTATTTTTATGCTGCACAAAGAGCTAAACAAGAGAAACAGCCTAACGCAGATTTGTCATGAATTTACTTACGGCATCTCAAAAATACCATTATGCAATTGCTGCCAGAACTTGGAAACATTATTTTTTTGGCTTTGAATTTGCACAGCCAGCAAAGCTATTCGCCATGCCGATGGTGGCATCCAGGAAGCTATTTTAATTTGCAAGCAATATAAGTATTATATAATTATATTGTAATATTATTATTATTATTATTATTATTATTATTATTATTATTATTTACTAGCTGTACCCGCCACGCGTTGCTGTGGCCAACCTTCCCTCCCTCTTTCTCTCTTTCTCTCTTTCTTTCCTTCCTTCCTTCCCTCCTTCCCTCTTTTTCTTTCCCTTCTTCATTCTTCCTTCTCTATCTGTTTCTTTTCTTACTTCCTTTGCTCTTTGGTTCCATCCTTCTTTGTCTCTTTCCTTCCTTCCTTCCCTCCCTCTTTCTCTCTTTCATTCCTTCTCTCCTTTCTTCCTCTTTCACTTTTTTATTTCCTTCTCTCCTTCCTTCCTTCTCTACTTTTCTTTCTTCCTTCCTTCTTTCTCTCTTTGTTCCTTCCTCTCCTTCCTTCCTCTTTCTCTCCTTCCTTCCTCTTCTCTCTCTTCCTTCCTCCTTCCTTTCCCTTCCTTTTTTCCTTCTCTCCTTCTTCCTTCTCTCTTTTTCTTTCCTTCCTTCCCTCTTCTCTTTTATTTCCTTCTCTCCTTCCTTCCTTCTCTACTTTTCTTTCCTTCCTTCCCTCTTTCTCTCTTTCGTTCCTTCTCTCCTTCCTTCCCTCTTTCACTTTTTTATTTCCTTCTCTCCTTCCTTCCTTCTCTACCTTTCCTTCTTCTCTCTTTTTCTTCTCTCCTTTCCTCTTTCCCTCCTTCCTCCCTCTTTCTCTCTTTTGTTCCTTCTCTCCTTCTTCCCTCTTTCACTTTTTATTTCCTTCTCCCCTTCCTTCTTTATCTTTGTTTCCTTCCTTCCCTCCCTCTTTCTTTCTTTCGTTCCTTCTCTCCTTTCTTCCCCCTTTCACTTTTTACTTCCTTCTCTCCTTCCTTCCTTCTCTACTTTTCTTTCCTTCCTTCCCTCTTTCTCTTTTGTTCCTTCTCTCCTTCCTTCTCTACTTTTCTCTTTCCTCCTCCCTCTTTCTCTCTTTCA